TCGATCTGTTAATGTGATTGCGACAGAAATATGGTAACAAAAGTGGCCTGAAATGTGGTCTCCACCAGACTCCTTTTGCAGGCTGAATAAATCGTAGAAATCAGCATAAAAAGGGGATACAATTGGCCAGAGGAGTTTCCCGACCATAGAGTATCCCTGGGGTGGCGTGTTGGACCCTTTCTGGCCAATGGATACTGCCTGGCCAATACTGTCTTATGCCACCCTAGGATCTGCTTGGGGATTATGGTTGTAGTACACTACTAGTAACGTTACCTTGATTTGCGCCCCTGTCGACCACTTTTCAAACTGCAGATTATGAGCAAATTCTAAGAAGCTTTCCAAGGAGCTTTAAGCTAATCTCCAAGCAGATCCTTTTCGGTGGCAAAAAGACGGTATCAAATTGGCCAGGCAGTATCCATTAGCCAGAGAAGGTCGCTGGCCACCAACGTTGGTGGGGGTAGCGACAAAAAAAAAAAAAAAACCAAAAAACAAGCTATATATATATATATAAAGGTAACAATCATTCCCCCACAACCTCTGCTTGGAGAGTTACGAGCTTTAAGCCTCCTTGGGCTTTCCAATACTTGAAGTGAACTTCTGTACTGACTACACAACGCATTTCCTGAACACCAGTACTTTGAAGTAGCCTCTACCGGTCCCCTTTAATACGCTGATAGAAAAATGGTAGAAATTAATGACCAAATAGACTGAATGATTTTCCAGTGGACGAAAAACTTCACTAGGTTTGCCATCTTTGATTGCCTTGTTTTCTCATCAACAGGCAAAAAATATTTCCCATCATTTTTCCCATTTTTGTAAAGAAGGGTTTCTAAAAGACAACACTGACAAATATGTAACATTAGCAAAAGTTCATGTACAATGTATTCAAATTGATAAGGTGTAACATTAAAATACTCCAGTTATTATGCTTCATTAAAATACTCCAGTTATCAAAATTCATTCTTGCACTTACAACAAAATATTTACATCAGGTGCTACAGTAGATTAAAATTTTTGACCTTGTTTCTTAGTAATATACAATCTGATGCCACAGTTTTCACAGATATTACCATTCACCCTTTGTCATGTAGCCCCTATAGAATAAATTTTTAGACATCATATTGTGTTTGTCAAAGGTCACTTTGGTATAAAGTCACTTCTCTGGACTTATAAATGATGAAGTTGATTTTACACTTTTCATGACAAGCATCATCTGTATGATGTATTTAACAATTACTACTGAGCATATCATTGTAATAGAAATGAATATTGCATGTGAACAGATAATATTCCATATTAAACATATGAACCAATGATACATTGTTCAGGCATAAGGGGCACACATCAATCCTGGAAAGGCATTTTACACCAATTATTAGTCTTCAATCTGGTAAAAATTAGTTACTAGCTTCTATAAGTCCTTAGATCTAGCTTCTGGTGTGTCCAATCGTCTGATCGGATCCAATCCTCTACTGCACATGTAAAGCCGGCCGAAGGTTACATTATGTAACGTTATCTACATATTGTTAAGCTGATCCACAGTGTCCTGTAGCCCTGCCTCAGTCAGAGCCTGCAGAAGAACCTGTAAGGTGGCGGCGTTGCCTCTCCGTGTCCGCCACTGCTCCAACATGTCCATGCAGCAGTCCTTGGCATCACGGTTGGCTTGCTTGTACTGAATGGTGTCAATGTCTGATCTAGTAAAGTCTAGGAAGTGAGCCAGGTCTCTCCAGTGAACGCTGACCTTCTCTTTGATGAAGAAGAAGTGTTGGCTCACATCTGGTGGTGATAAAATGCTGCTGTTTAGGATGTTGCATTATCAAGTAGGGTACAAACTGATGAGGCAGATGAACCAGCCAAAGTATTGGTCAGAAGGAATTCACTGCACACTGAATAATACTAGAACATCAAAGTAATGACTTACCAACATTATATAGAAAAGAAAATGAGATCTGCCATTCTATGCTGAACAAACAAAGTGCCCAGTTTTCCAGGTCACTTGTGACGATTCTTGTTTCAGCCAGCATCTTTCATTGTTAATTGCAGAGAATTTGGGAGCCAATGGTGAAGATCTAGAAATATCCTTATGCATGCCATTGAAAAAAAACAACAACTCACCATCAGGTCTTCTTTGCTCAATTGCTGCCCCATCATCTGAAACAAACAGAATCATTGATGACCATGTCACTCCTCTCAAAACTTGTCTAGGAAAGCATTTCAATTGTACTAATTCAATTGCACTTGCATAGGCAATGATTGTATCAAGTCTGGAAAGCTTGGCTTACCAGCATGGCAACAAGATGTACTCCGCCTGCACAAAACCCTGATTTTTCACGTTTTTTGTTGGATGTTTGGTCACCATTGCTGCAGAATTTTGCCTGTTGCACAGGATATCTTTTCCGACACAACATTTGGAACCTTATATACTTATATATTTAACCTTATATACACAAATATGACCTTATGTTCTGCCAAAGTGCTATGCAAAATACAGTTTTCGCGCAGGTGCAGTACGACATGCCGACATGCTCTGCTTACCCAGGTATCTTGTACAGCTGCAGATGACGTTGCTGGATTCAGCCTGTGGATACAGCTGCAGGGTCATCTGCAGGTGCTGAAGGTGCTGCAGGTGTTCGGTGCCAGGGTTCGATCTCTGGACAGTCATGTGGAACGACGGGTAGATCCTGTCACAGTCCAGGGTGTCTTCATACTCTAAACCTCCAGGGGGCTACAATAGTAGAAAGAATTACAACTCAAACAGTTGCCTTCTGTAACTCACTGTTTTTTTTCATTATGCTAGAAATTACGGTAAATTTAATAATGTTCAGTTCATGAAGTTCTGACTTTTATACCTATCCAATACTACCGGTGTCCATCTACTCTGCACAGTTACTGCTAGCCCCAGACATTCACCCACCTGTGGTTCAGCGTGAGCTAAGGTCCCATTCTCCACAGAAGCCTGCAGACAGTAGATACGGTGAGGCCGGAAGGAGCAGGGGAGGGAGTCCCAATGGTAGAACCTCGGGTGTAACTTTGACAAATCTTCCTGCAAGGTCTGCAACAACAGATCAGTATCAAGATGAAGCAAGTCATTACCAGTGTGCCCTATACCATCAGTGGGAGTAAGCTTGTCTTAGACAACTGTAAATTGACTGCAATTCAGTTGTCCACTGTGAAAGTTCAATAAACACTGGTCACCTCAATTTTGGAATGTCACTTTCCGAATTTTGAGACACCTATGTTGAAACCCCTGATTTTCAACTTTGTTATTCCTGGATGTACAGTGAACTTTTGCATGCCATTGGAAAGATCATGCTATCTTCAGTACCAGGTTGCTTTTTTTATGGTCAGAATGTACAAATTTATCAAGATATTTGACTTTAAAAATTGCAAGCCTGGCGGTCTAGAACACACACCGTCATGCCCAGCAGCTTAGCCTGGCAGTCCTAAACTTTAGCCCGCGGCCTGAGTTAGCCAGCCCGCATCCAGACCGCATCCAATTAGCCTCATGAACACCCCATGAAAACCACTGAATTAATGAGAATTCACATTTTCACACCTGTGTAATTAACAAGTTTGTGATAAATTCATGAGAGGTCTGGGCTCAATGGTTAGCCCGCGGGCCTGAACAGGCCTGTCGGTCTGTGGACAGGCTGGGCTGATGATTAGGCCTTATGATAGAGGACCTTCAGACTTTAAACACCAAACAGAAAGTGGGAAACAAAAATATGCTTCCAAATTGATGCTTCCAGATTGATGATGGTTTACACTTCATATCACTTAATATTAATAAACACCCTTCACATTTTCAGCTAATATTTTCAATAAGTGATTACATATTATTGACAAGTATGATGTACAGGTATGAATGATGATAACTTTCATGAATATTCATTTTGAACATTTTCTGCAAAAGCTTCAGAAATTTCTACTGGAAGAATTTTTCCTGTACATGGGAAGAATTGTTCTGCTATTAAGACTGCAGAAAGCTTTTTGAACATGTTTGAGGAGGTGGATTTTGCTGCTGCTGTGCTACCTGGGCTGATACCTGGGCGGGGTGTAACATTTGTGTAACGGTTATGACTAAAAAAGATCAGATAGCATCATAAAAGACCCTTGTCTCAGCAAGAACACTTCATATTAGACCTGATTGGTTGTGGTGTTGGAAGCCAACTTTTGAGGACACTTCATGGTCACTTACAGTTTCTGTTTGGCAGGTATAGTCCAATCTGTCCTACTATGGATGGGCAACTCCCCTGGCCAAATCCCTTTGAAACATCATGGGGGTAGAAATTTATCTTTTTTTTTAAAGAATGAAGACTTGGCTAAGTACAGGTCACAACAAAACAAGATGAATGGACATGGTTAACAGATAAACAATAACTCCATGGAAACATTTAAATCAAAAGGAAAACATTTGGAGTTTTAGTGCCATAATCCTGCCATGTATAAGCCTCAGCCGATGTACACTGAAAACATAAAAAAGCAAGGAATCGATCCTCAATTTGCAACATGAACTTGCTTTCAGTGCAAGGAGTTGTACAATGCTTTAGGAAATTCATGTTACATTTTCTTTTGTAATTATTCTGTTCCTGCACCTTTGTCATGCGGGTCATACCTCAGGTCACCTATTGTTCCAGGCATGCAAATGACCACTGTCCAATTATCAAATTAGAGAGTCTGGTCGGGCTACCCTGACATGGGTGCACTGGCACTGGCTCAATAGCCCGAAAAAATATCCTATCAGAAAATCTCATGACATTGTAATGACAGTGTCAGATGGCCTGGGTTCACACGCTGAGAACCATGTCTTGGCCAAATCTTTCTATCCCACAACTAGTTTGTAGTGTCATGATTAGATTAGATTTAGATTATGAACAAAAAATTAATGATGAGAATCTTTACAGGATTTGTAATAAGTCTAAATTACAATTTAATTGGAAGTGCTTGCCCAAGGCCTAGAGTCAATTCTATATTGCTATATTGCACATTACAAATTGTAACCATTTCGAAAAAAAACACAATGTTTCTAGATAATTTCAAAGTATGATTGAAAAAAAGTAGAAAATTTTCTAATTGTTACAATATTTGTGAAACATCTCAAATAGGTTATATATATAATGAAAAGAGCTGTTCATTCAGTTTGGATATTTCCCAAAAATTTAGGAACAGAACGTAAAATGCTTGTACAGCGCAGGATGTACATGTATGATAGCAGACCAGGTAGCCTGGGTGTAAGAAACAGGGGCGAGCTGTAGCGCCTATAGTATAACCCCCCCACTGTTACATGGGTACCAGACTGCTGCAAGGCTAGCTCCTTGGCTCCTGGAGGGCCAACATTTGCCCAAGGAAATGTCACCATAGAGTGATAATAGACATCCCTCAATAAGCCTATGAATTATATTGTAAAGGCTTGTTATGCCCTAGACACAAAGAACAGTTTCTTTAAAAATGGGTGACAAAAGGGGAGGGGAGGTGATTATGATAAAATTAACAAGTTCTAACTTCCAAGCAACAACTTGAAGTTAGTCTCCAGTCAGAAGCTGATCAATGTTAGACGTGTTTACAACTTGAGAAAGGGGATGCTTTTGCTTCCGAAGCAAAAGCATTCATTGAGTTATCAGACTGCATGAATTGTCATAACATACAAAAAATCAGATGATCATTGATCAATTACTAAGGTGACCTTGAGAGAATATTGATGTAATGTTGTAATTTTATAGAACAGGATTCTTCTTCAAGTGAATGAGTCTGAGAAACAAGTAATGGCATTATATTTAGTCTCTATGGCCGGCCAACTCCTCTGGCCAATGATGTTCCCCTTAGCCATGGAGCTACCTCCATGCCTTAGCCGATTGCTACTATTTATTTAGCCTGCAAAGGAGTCTGGTGGAGACTACATTACATGTGTATTGGTGTGGCCTAACAGTTGTATATATTTATTATACAGTCATTCCTGCCGAAATTTCTAGGAAGGATTCTATCTGCAGGAATCTACAATGTCTTAGTAGGTTTTTCCTGCAGAAATTTCCTGCAGGAAGAAAATTTTCAAAATTAATTTCCATGCATGTTATCATTCATACCTGTCCAATTATCAAATTAGAGAGTCTGGTCGGGCTACTAGTACCCAGACATGGGTGACATGGTCTTTGCAGCTTGCACTGGGTAGCTCAATAGCCCGAAAAAATATCCAATCAGAAAACCTTATGACATTGTATATAATGACACTGTGTCAGATGGCCTGGGTTCACACGTTGAGAACCATGTCTTGGCCAAATCTTTCTATCCCTCAACTAGTTTGTAGTATTATGATTAGATTAGATTTAGATTATGAACAAGAAATTAATGATGAGAATCCTAGTTTTATTTTTTAAGATAGTCGGTCATCTTTTCAGGCTCCTACTGGGTGACCCAGTAGTCAAGCTGCCCAGATAGGGGTACTGTAATTCGACGTGTAACTCAACAATAGTCCAACTTGATAATTGGACAGTGGCATTTGCATGTCAAGAACAATAGCTAAACTTAGTTTCATCCCGCATAACAATTGTTCCTTGATCAGAATAATTACCTGAGAACTGTTGAACCATGGTTGAACAGAAATGGACTGAGGATTTTATAACTCCATTGCTTGACAGCAGGTTTAAGTTGCAATGCATGTATTAGGCTTCTTGCTCATATTATATAGTACTAGAATTTTGTCTGGCAAAACTGTCTGTAACATAATTTTCCCAATGTTTCAACTGAACTGAACTGAACTTCAATGACATTCAGGATGCTCATGAGAAAAAATTGTTTCATTTTCTACCCCTAGCTGGTACAGAACGTGTTTGTAAGCTATTCTTTCTTTTTTGTGGTCTACATGTAGTGGAAAGAGCATGTGAAGCTGAGTGATTGAGTGAGTGAATGAGGTTGAAAGCGGCAAAAATGTACAACACTGTTAACAGATGGGTGTGGATTATTTTCTGCTCTGAGAATGAAGTTTTACACATCACTTGGATCAGACCGCGGGCTGAGATGTAGTCCGTGAGGTCTGAATCCTTACCCCACCAGGCTGAAATTGGCACAGACAGTCTGCAAACATCAATCAATTCACGCCTTCCATGCCATTGTTTTGGGCTTTTTGCACCTCTTTGACCAGAAATTCCAGACCGCGGGCTGAAGTTAGGCTGACGGTCTGAATGGTTTTTGAGCAAATCAGCCCGCGGGCTGGGATTCTACACCTGTAGTCTAGTGCCTTTAGACCGAAGGTCCTGTAATTAAAACTTGCGGGCTAGTTGTTAGGCCTGACGGGCTGTTAGGAAAGACCACCGGTCTGCTTGTATTTATTATTAATGATATCTTAAGTTATGAACACTGCAGAACAATAATTTTCATATCACTGTGCTCATTACACCAAGAGCTACACACTGATGTGAAACTTGAATGTTGAAAATCAATTTTTACTTGAGTTTCCAAATGCCTTGTGACTTTCCAAAATTGATGCGACCAGTGTTAATAAAGACATCTTGAATCTTGAACCTAGACTTTCTTAGTTTTCTATCATGTCTGATGAATGATATCTTTTATCTTTATACTAGGTTCAAATGTGTGTCTTGTTAGTATGCTTGTGATTGTTTTGTGCGTGGGCCACAACACCAGCCCCCGCTGCCTGTGGCCCACGAGTATTGTATTTGTTTACAATCCTAATAAATCAAATCAAATCAAATCAATCTTTTATCTGACAATGCTTTTGCAGTCAGTCAGCCTAGTCTTCCTGAGGGCTGTACTTAGAGTAATCTTACTAACATTGTACCTATCTGAAATAGGACATGATTTATCCATTGTAACTAGTCTTCCTGAGGGCTGTACTTAGAGTAATCTTACTAACATTATACCTATCTGAAATAGGACATGATTTATCCATTGTAACAGCTAACATGAGCAGTCTGATGCCAGGTTCCAATGCCAGTAGCTTTTTGATGAGGTTAGTATGAGAATGGGGTAGATATGGTAAGACAAGAGCACCTGCATGCTGTAGCTACGAGTACACTGAATCTGACTTACCTCTACCATCCCCTTGGTGTTAGACACAATGTGAGCCTTTACATCCACACCATGGGGGGTCTGAGACGTTTTGAAGAGAGTGAACAGGCCCCTCCTGTTCATGGTCAAGGCTTGGAGTTTCTGCAGCATAGAAGCCCAAAGACTCCCGTTCTGATGCCTGGTGAGGAAGTGAGTGGGGGTGACGTCTGCAGGATGAAGTGTCGTGTTTCCTGCCACAACATGCGCAGCTCTGACGTCATCCGGGGATAGAGCTGTGGGGACAAGTGCAGTGATGGACATGATCTCATCAGAACGAATGTCAAATAAGTCTCATTAACTTATGCGTGGAAGAAGAAAACCTGAGACACTCCAAATACAAACATCTTGCGAGATGCAGAGAGACTGTCCGGAACTCTGCCTTGTCCCAACCCTAACCGATTCAGGAGTAGAACTTAAGATAGGCATGGCTCTGGATACAACAGGTGCGACTCATGCTACAACAACTGGTTCATCATTCATTTTGTTGGGGATTGACCAGTACTAGCGCAGCCTTCAATGGTAACTCTCAGAAGTCATCTTGGGCAAAAAAGAACCAGGTTCTGTTATATCCAGAACTGTGCTTTATCCAGAACCATACTAAGGCACAGTTCTAGATAGTCCACCCTGTATCCTGAACCATGCCTGCGGCAAATCTGTGTTCTTGGATACCTGGAGACTATCCACAACAGTGCCATCCCAACCCTAACCCATCCAGGTACAGAACTAGATAGGCACGGTTCTGGAAACAATAGAGACTATCCAGAACAGTGCCTGGTCCTATCCCATTCTGGAGTAGGACTACATTTTGTACATGTAGACAGGAAAATTTCTGGATATGATTTGTCCTCACCACTGCCGTCCTCCTGTGACAGGTCCAGGATGTGCGGCAGGAGGAGCTCCACAGGTACATCGTCACCATGGTTACACTGGATGTGGAAGAGTGGACCAATCAGCTCCCAGTCCTCGCTCTCTGGCCAGTGTTCAGACGGGTTCACTGTCCTGTAGGTCAGCTGGACGGGGCAGGGGGTAACGACCCCCAGGTCGGTGTGTTTGCACAGGAACTTCCCCCGGCCGGGCAGTTGTACAGACCTAAGATAATATAACAACCAACAGAGTAAGTCATTGATACAACCAAGTTAAAACACAGACATGCCCACAGAATCCTTCTACACATGTACCAGTAGTCAGCTCCTTTCATGTTAGTGAGTGCTGCACTACAATTACCCTATGCTAGTTACAATGTAATTTTCTACATTTCTAAAAATAACAAAGAAATAAAGGTTGCCAGGGTGACTATCTGCAACACAAACAAATTCTGAATGCAGTTGACGCTCCTTGAAGATCCTGAACATTTTCCACTTTTGCCAGAATTTGATGATAACTAAAGCATCAAACTTCTTACATGATGAGAAAAGGAAAAGAACCAGCCTCACCATGTTGTGACTCCCTGCTCATCTACAGAAGCATCAGGTTCAACCTCCACTTCCGGCATCTCCTCTATGTAGTCCTGGTGGCAACAAAGACTGGGATTAATGAACTGTGTTTTGAAATTAGGACATTTTCATAGACATTGTGCATCACATAGATCTTAGTGTCTTCTGATATATCCTTAACCTAACTCACCTTGAAGGCAGTCTTCACAATGTCTAAGAGAAAAGCCCTGAACAAATGTTCTAAGATCCATATTTACCTTGAAGGCAGTCTTCACAATGTCTAAGATCAGCCCTGCCCTTTTATTCTACGACCTTAACCTAACTCACCTTGAAGGCAGTCTTCACAATGTCTAAGAGATCAGCCCTGAACAAATGTTCTAAGATCCATATTTACCTTGAAGGCAGTCTTCACAATATCTAAGAGATCAGGCCTGTCCATGTCCTTTAAGACAGTCTCCAGCTGCTTGAGGTCGTGAGGCAGTCCGTGGCGCCCTCCCCACATCCAGACCTGCAGTACCCTGCAGGCCCGCTGGATGGCGCTGTTGTACTGTGCCTGTATGCTGTCCAGTCGCGGCTGTGGGATCCCCAGGCCAGCTCCCAGCCGCCGCCAGTCTGAACCCAGTCTGCAGCTCAGCTTCGTCAGCAGATGGCTTTCTGGAAAAGAAACAGGATTCAGGACTGAAGCCCAAAAGTAATTCAACCTATGATTTAACAATTGTCCCTGCTTTAGACTGAACAAGATTGTTTTGAGATGGCACATTTTTCTACCTCATTGAAACGTTACAAACTGAAAACAAACAAAAAAAGTGAATGTGGAAGGCCAAACCCCACGAGATTGACCGAGGAAGAGATAAATCGACAACCCCGGGATAATAAAAGTTATATTTACTATTGAATAACTCAAGAATTAGGGGCTGTCGAGGCCCAAAAGTAGGCCCAATTATTTAATATCAATTACTAAACCCTTCCCAAAAATGTGTCATTCTCCTGGCAGCTATGAGAACACACTTGCCTGCTGCAGTAGCCAGCTCGCTCTCCTTCAGGGGTGGTTTGCTCTGCCTGGATTTCTGCTGTTCTGCCTCTTCCCCACCTTCAAGACTCGGTTTGCTCTGCCTGTACTTCTCCAGGAAGTTTTCTGTGAACATCAGGATGGTCTGTTCCAACACCTGCGTTGTCTGTTCATCAGCTGTGGACAGAGTTAGAAGACTAACAAGTCAGTACTACATTACGGAGAAGTTGAAAACATTTGTCCCATAGACTTTGATCAAAACAACTTGCATGCATCTTGAGTGTAAACCCTTACATCATGCAAGTCATAAATACCAACAACACAGCTACAAACAGTAAGTGTACTTGGGCTTGTACCAGGTTGTATCAACACATCAACAAAATATCTTATAATCAAGAATGAATGGATTTCAAGAAACTCAATGAAAGCTGTACCATGTTCGCCTCCAAGAAGCACAACCTGACTTCTGAGTTTCTCATTGTCTTGTAGAAGGTCGTCTACTCTTGTTGCCATGGCAACATTAGCTTCCTGTAGTTGTTGTATTTCCAGCTTGTGGTCCAGCAGGACCTTCTGTGCCTGCTCCTCCTTGTCCCTAAGCCTGGTTACCTCTGCACGGAGACTGTGGACCATGGCCTCCTGTGTCTCACTGTGATGCTGCATCTGTACAAGTTTCTGTTCTGCCTGTCTGATCTTCTCCTTGGTCTGTTGCTGAAAAAATATTGTTACAGCTTAAAAATCCACATGTACAAATATTACTGCTATGTTGTGGGAGGTAAATATGAGCTCAGGTATTCCGTGTATTCCTGAAACACATTCTTTACTATCACACCATACATGGAAACCCAACTTGACCAACCGGGGTTGACATGGCCTCCTGTGTCTCACTGTGACGCTGCATCTGTACAAGTTTCTGTTCTGCCTGTCTGATCTTCTCCTTGGTCTGCTGCTCCTCCTGAAGCCCCTCACCAGAAGACCCTCCGGCTGCCGGGCGCTTGGCTGGTGGCCCGCCTGATGTATCTGCCGGCCGCTTGAGTCGCTCTACCTGGAATATAGAGGTTTGGCATAGGTTGGAAGGCAGTCTTTTCCACTCACAAATAAGGCAAGACCCTCTGATCTTACTTCAAACAGTTAACACAGAATCATGGTACATGTACATTTGTATCACCAAAGACAACTAAGATGCATCCCTCTGTGCCAACTCAGGAACACTATTAATGCTCACACAGTATCATGGGACATGATTGTACATTCAGTGTGACCAAATACCTTGATCCGACCTGCCTCCTGTGCCAGTTGGCCCATGCCGATGTCACTCAGCTCCTGCTGAAGCTTGTCCATGGACGCTTCATGGTCTTTCTCCATCCACTTCAACAGCACATTATTGGCCTGGTAACTCGGATTTGTCTTGTCTTTACCCTAGAGGCAGAACATCCACTTATATATGCAATGTTCGTTACCTTTAATATATTACATGTAGTAGAAATCAATCAATCAATCAATCAATCAACCAATCAAACTAAATGATCCAACAATACAGCTGTAAATCTAACACACACATGTATTTCTTGGATATCAATCATTTGAACTTCTCTAACCACATATAATATTTGATTTTTCTCACCAGGATACTGGTTCTTTCACTTGCTGTAAGTCCAGCTACTGTGGCCAGAGCCTCCACCTCAACTCTTTGTGTCACGTTTTGTGAGAAACAGAAGAATAGTTTTCCAAATTCTCTTCCTGGAAGAAATTAAAAACTGACATTGTTTGGATTAACTGCGACTGTTTAGATTTCAGGTTTGTTTCTATTAACCAGAGCAAATCAGAAGGTGCAGAACAATCAATAACATGCAAAACCTTTCTGTAATTTACTGGATGTATTCAAAAGCTTACTGACATATGTCCTAAAAATGGTCATAAACAACTTAGTGCATGAAAATAAATCATTTTTCATTTCACATTAGATTTGATCATTCATCTTTTTGGTCAAAACAATAGCTCTGAGACATTCAAAAGTGAAAAATCAGACATTCAAAAGTGAAAACATCATCATCATTTATATTTTTAAAATTGCTTTTCTCATCCATACCTTCCTTTTCCCCCAGCTTTCTTCTGAGGAAGTCCATGATGGCGGCTGTGCCTTTCTCACAGACATCAGGAGGGGGATATGTCAGGGGATTTCTTACAATCTCCAATCTCACAATTTGGGTCATATGGCCCAGTTTCAGGGGAAGGCGGGAAATCCTGTTATTTGACAACAAGAGCTCTGTAATGTTGGGTAGGTTCATGATTTGTTCAGGAACTGATGTGAATCTGTTGTCAGAGATGTTTAAGTACTTCAGCTGCACCAGTTCCCTAACACCTTCCGGTAATGACTCTAAGTCACTATTCTCCATGTGTAAATTTTCAAGGTTCTTCAGTCTGCCAATGTCTTCAGGTACAAGTGAAGGTTTGCCCTCCCCAGCCCACTTCCCCATGTATAGCTCCTTTAGACCCTTCAGCTGCAGCACCTGTCTGGGGAACTCATCAAACTGACAATCCATGATATCAAGCCTCGTCAGTCCTGTGAGCTGAGATATCTTGTCAGGGAGGCACTTGAGGGGGTTGCCTCCCAGGCCCAAGTAGCCAAGTTGAAGAAGTGAACAGACTTCCTCTGGTATCTTTTTGAATATATTATTCTGGATGTTGAGACCATGAAGTTGTTCTAACCTGGAGAATCCATCAGGCAATGTCTCCAACTTGTTGTGTGATAAGAGAATGACCTGTAGGTTATGTAGAGTGGTGATTGCCTGGGGAAGTTGTGTCAGCAGGTTGCTGTAAAGTTCAAGCCTCTGAAGCTTCTGTAGTTGCCCTATTTCCTCAGGTATGCTCTTCAGCCTGTTGTTAGACAGGTCAAGACATTCGACGTCTCTGTTGTCAAACACCTCGGCTGGCACAGAGGTCAGTCCTTTGGCACTAAGGTCGATAGTGAGCAAGCCATCAACCACTTTAGGTTGGAGAGCTAAAAAAGTAGAAAAGAGATTGTTTTGAAGTAAGCATTACAGGTTTTAGTGGATGCAGAAAGGATTTCTAACCACACTATTGATATTAAAGCTAATACATGATATATATAATATTATTATATAATACAACTTCACTAGAATATAGATAAAGAACAGAGATAGAATAGAGAATAATTTCAAAATGTATTCATGATCCTACCTTGATTATTAAGGAATAAAAAGCAATATACTTGTGATACAGCAAGAAACTTAAAACAAGAGAGAGAGAGAAAAAAAGAGAGAAAATGTTAAATGATTATGACATCATCATGACATTTACACAGAACAGGATAACTGTACTCCTCTATCAGAAACCATCAGTTTGCAATGGAAAAATACATCACCAGACAGCGCTGTTGAGATGCCTCATCTGCCCTGATGTCTTACCCTGCAGGAAACAACAGGATTTCAACAGTTAGGATTTTACAAGTGATGCTTTAGGCAAATTAGTATTAGAAGTTTTTGACATGATAATTGTCGAATGCAACAGGTGCAGGTTGAATACAACAGGTGGAAGCCACATGTTTTACTACCAGTAATGGATGTATTTTGGGCTTACTTTAAACAACTGGAGCACCTGCTGCACATCCTCTTGTACTGCAAGCTCTTCTGCTGTCTTATTATCCTGTGTGTAAAGTAAACACATCCATGAAGTCATTAACAACACTAAACATCATCATAACATATTGATGCTTGTCTTTTCTATGCTTTAGTTGCACAAAAAAGGGGTTTGTAATAAGATGATGATATTTAAGGTATAACTTGTGGTGTAGTGCATGTATCTTAAGTTTATAATACTTGGTAGGTAGGAATTTATGAGCTTGGGAAAAGGAAGACCAAGGTCAATTTTGGGTACTCTAGCGGTTTTGTAAGGTACTGCAGGGGTACATGGGTTTGATATCTCATGCTGTGGCCATACTATGGTCTTGATTTTTGATTGGGACATAGATGTTTGGATAGTAAGTATCTGGTGTGGTTTTTAGTGAAATGGGGTTCTTTTTTGGAGCTTCTGTGGTCATTTTTATGACGGAATGTGTCTAGACTGGATAACTTTTGATGTTGTGGATGTTTTTTACAGTTTTTTGTAGGTAGTTTGTAGTGTGGAAAAAGAAGGTTAAGTTTGAATTTGGGTATTCCAGTAAGGTTAGATGGCGCCAGGCATGAAGATTTAATTTTGTTGACACCACTATTCTAGCCCCTGTAGTTCAGGTGACCAGATGCTCAAACTGTATGGTGCCACTCACATGCAAAACAAAAAGTCAAACTATTTACAGCAGCACAATTCTGCAGGCCTCGAAATTAACTTTTACTATTGTCCCAGAATTGTCCCAAACATAGATTTCAATTGTCCCGAACTGAAGATGGACTGTCCCAGCCTGCTTTTCAGGAAATAAGTTTGTGACAACAATAAGAAAACAACAACTGAATTTGTACAACTTGAAGTCCACTTTATTAGTATATGTAGGGAAATACATGATAATATCATGGGCATGGCACCGTCCCTGATATTTGGAATCCCTGATTGGTCAAATTTAAATGTTTGTCAGAGTATTATATATTTATAGGCTGCCAGCAGTCTGCAGCAGGATGGATGGATCACGTTCCTAAATGACGTGGACGGTCTGAGAATTTTCCAATTGCCCTGAAATTGTCCCGAAACATAATTTGAATTGTCCCAAGCTGAAAATTTAGTGTCATTTGACACTGGGACAATGTTAATTTCGAGCCCTGTTCTGATTACCCAAACTAATACATGACGAAGGTATGAGATCATCAAGCTCTTGTTACTTCCATGAAAAATGGAGGTATTGTTTTTGGCCTGTCTGTGCGTCTGTCTGTCTGTGTGTCTGTGTGTGTGTGCAGTACCAAGGTCATCCACTAGGAGGCCCATATTTGACCTTGACCTTTGTCTTCCTAAGACTTACAAACTTACCAAATGTCATCATAATTCATAAAGGCGTTATGAAGTTATGCTGACTACAAATGTGCGGAAACACAAACACACACACACACAGACAGACATGCCAAAAACAATACATTTGTACCTCCATTTTTCATGGAGGTAAAAAGCATACTTACACTGTTCCTATTAACAGTGTTGGCTCCAGCCCTCAGCAGTACTCTGACACACTCAGGGTGTCCTTTCTTTGCTGCTGCATGAAGGGGAGTCTCATTCTGTAGGTACAGCAAAGTGTGAGATGGTCAAAAGGTACTACACATACATGTAACAGTCTCACCATGTAACCAAATGACTACACCAGCCCCTTTAGTCCCACACACAAGTCCTGACATGACTCAAAACAAATGTTTAGCCCTAAAGTTGGGACAACACAAGTAAGGCTCCAACTGATACAGACATGTTACATGTACCAAATTATGTAATCTTCAGCTGTAAGTGAAGCCTGACAGTTCCCATGACTATAGCACAGTATCTGATAGTCAGGACACCGGAAAGACAGGACTATATCTTGTGGGTCCATTATAGAAACTGAGGACAGGGACAGTTAGACAGACACTGCAGCAAAGTTACCCAGTCGCTTCGTGCGTCGATTGTTGCTCCAGCTGTGAGTAAAGCCTGTACAGTTCCTGTGTGGCCGTTCACGGATGCATGGTGGAGAGCTGTCCATCTCTGTACAGAGACAAGAGTAGAGGAGCTTCATGTAAGATTAGGGTTCAGACATGTACTTGTACCAACAATGACTTCTGCAGCCTTCCAGGAACTTCCCGTATAGTGTAAGTACATGGATAACATGAAGAAGTTTAATATGTTAAATAAAAACTTAAGGTGTGCTTGTACTTTATTATATATTACTAGCACAAATAGGTAATCTGATGTAAAGATCAAGGTTATCTGTAACCAACTTAAATGATGACAGGAAAACTAAGTTTCATATACATGTATGTTATATATATATATTGGCAAGGAATGGGGTGAAGTTGGGGTCAATGGACAGGTCAAAGGAAAATAAAAATAAACAAATGGTTCCTATGAGTACCTGACAGTCACAACAACACACGGATGCATTAGTCAGGCTTTTCATTTACTACACCTTTACTACAAACTCAGGACAGGCACAGTTAGACAGACTCAAGAAAAGTTACCGTGTTGGTTCGTGCGTCGACTGTTGGCTGAGCTGTGAGTAAAGCCTGTACAGTTCCTGTGTGGCCGTTCACAGATGCAAGGTGGAGAGCAGTCCATTCCTGTACAGAGACAAGATTAGAGCTTCATGTAAGATTAGGGTTCAGACATGTACTTGTACCAACGGTGATCTTTGCAGCCTTCCAGGAACTTCCCGTATAGTGTAAGAACATGGATAACATGAAGAAAATTGTTGAAGATGCACTTAGATATAAACACAAAGAGTTTTCACAATATAAATATGAACTTTAAATAAGACAATCAGTAGCACAAAAAGGTGTACATGTCATGTTCTGATGTAAAGATCAATTTCATCTGTAAAAATGCAGACTTGAAAAGGAACCTATTATTAAGTGTTTCAAANACAAGCTAAAAGCTGAAGGGAGAATGACAGACAACTCGTTATACCGGAGGTCCAAAACTTGCAGCCGGGGCAGATTTTCAAATGTATGAGACGTAATTGCCGTTATATTGTTGTTGTCCAGGTACAACTGTGCCAGTCTGGGCAGATTTGCAAAGTTAACCAACTGTATCTTATTGTGGGACAGGAACAACTTTTCTAGTCGGGGTAGATTACGGAATGCATGACGCTGAATCGTTGTTATCTGGTTTTTATACAGGAGCAACTTGTTTAGTCTTGGTAGATTTTGAAATGTCCCTGCTTGAATCATTGTTATCTTGTTACCACACAGGTTTAAGTAGACTAGCATGGGAAGCTTTTGAAAAGAACCTTTCTGAATGGTTGTTATCTGGTTGCTTGCCAGGTTTAAGAGTTGGATGGATGTTGGGAGGTTCTCAGGGATGCTGGTTAGGCCCATTTCGGTGCACTTGCATTGTGATGATGGTGCACAGCTGCAGCCAGCTTCTGCCATGTTGGGCTCCTTCAGGAGGATGAGAAGGAAAATCAGAATGTGTCTCAGTTTTCCTCCCATATGGTGCTCCGTCACCTAGAAAAATTAGAAAGCACATTTCTATGACGACACAAACATTTTATGTGGAATCTAGAATTAAAAGATGGTTTAAAGACTGCACACCCATGCTACCCAACAAGCTCTTCCCATTTTGGCCTCCGGTCAGCTTTTTTTAAAAGCTTTCCTGTTTCAGCAGATCCCCTGAAGTGTTTGCAGTGTGCAAGGACGTTATGTACTCCTCATTTGCACTATAAATGTTCCTGAAGTGTGTAACATCCAGACCTAAATTCCGGGTGTGGGTCGAGGTACGGTTTTGGGAGTGGGGGGTGGGGGGGTAGCTGTAGGGGTTTAGCCTTTGGCAGGGCTATGAAATACAACATCCGGCTGTCGTGGGCATGATAAAAACCCCATTTACATTTTTTTTAAAATATCTTCAGCACAAACCCACTACCATGTAGGCGTCCATCATAATTTTGCCCAGTGCAGGCCATCAATGAGTTTAAACAGAGGGTTTTATCCAGAACCGTGCCTCAGGTCCCGCATGTTCTTAACACACAATGGCCTTGTCTTGCTTGGGGTGAACCATGATTAACAGCAGTTCCGGGCACAGTTCTGGACACACCAGATACCAGTAAAGGAGAGCCCGGCAACCACACAGGGTCCCACGTGGCCACGCCCAAAAGTGCAGAAAAACAGCACTCGGCGGGCTCCTTTTTGCTATCTTAATTCTTTGCCCAATTGAAGAAACATACTACGAGAGTGCAAGAAAATCAACATATTAAAAAAATGTAAAAAATGTAATGGTTAAAATATGGAGAATATGTTAATTATCTGAGAATTGCTGCTTGAGTCTCCATGCTGTGTACCCCTTATTATACCCTGCTTACAGCACCCTCGAGCGAGGAAATGAGCAGCTAGAGGAGTAGGGAAATGAACAGTTTTCTTTAAAATGATTTTTAGTCATCGTTATTTTCTGTCATATCATTTAAAAAGGCAATTGTAGAACTGTTTTCGTAGACTCTCTTATCAGTCACGTGCACTCTCATCTCACCTCACCGGTCCCATGGCAGTCTGTCCTGCCGTCGGGGCAACTAAACTGTCCACAAGACTTATCCACCTACTCTTATGATTAATGTAAAAATGTACAAAATCTTGAAGACACCACTGATACTAGTACTGTCTTTAGAACTAACATAATCTCCAACCAGAAATTAAGATGAAAGATACTGTTAACTTTTTCTGACGGCCAGGCTTCTCTGACACTCACCTAAATCGTTGACAGACTGAAACGGCATCCTAACATCTGCTTGGGGAATAAAAATCTGATTGCATGCCTATCTGCGTATGCCTGGGATAAAATTTGAAAAGCTGTCTTTACTACAAATTGTACCTTTCATATTTGTCCACAGGTAGAAACGTACCTTTCTAGTGAGTCAGAATAGCTTCAGTTGGCACTTTCGTGGAAAGAACTCGGGTGTAGCTCGCTGTAACAGTTGTTCTTGTAGGGTATGTCAGCCTTCTTCGGTAGCTGATACGAAATGCCGTGTGTGACAAACAACCCAGGATTATATGATATATAGCCTTACGTAGGAGTTAATTGTCTAACGCTGGCTATTTGAATAACATATTATTTATTATATATGTGATGTAAAAGCAAACGTGTTATGCGTTGTTTTTTTTTTTGCCTTGCATAAACAACAGAGCGTGAGCGGCCTTATTAGAACGCGCGTGCGCACTGATCTAGGATCGAGATCGTTCTCCTTAAGTGTGCAAGGACGTTAAATGTGTTTGAAGTGGAAGTGTGCAAGGACGTTAAATGTAGTCCTTGTATGCACTTTAAGAGTGCATCAACCAGACCTAAGTTTGGGGGGGGGGGGTAGCTGTAAGGGTAAAGCCTTTGGCTCGGCTCTGAAGTCGGGACGACATCGGCCCGGACTGTCGTGGTCATAATAAAAATCCTCATTTTTGAAGACCGGCCCTGTTAGAACGCGTGGGCACTGACAAATTCGTTCTGAAAATGAAATAATAAAAAACATGGTGTTTCATAAAATGTATTTCCTTGTCTCCTTTTCATAATGCTCATACAGTGCGTTTCTTTGTTTCTTTACACCTGTCAATGTTTTTTTTTAATTACACCCTACTCCACACTTAAGTATTCCTTTAACTGGATTATCTTACAGGTGACAAGGAAGTCTTGGATGCCATGAAGACTTCACGGGCGAGGCAAGGCATGTGGGCATATCACTTGTTTCTTCTAGTGAATGAATCAATGAAACTTCGCTGCAGTATTTCATATATATATATATCCCAGGACGTTGTTTTCTCGAATAAAAGACACCAATAAAATGTCACATGGCGAGTTAACCCCAGAGACCTGGCATAGTTCAACTCCTGAAAACTCTCAATTAAACATTTGCACACTTCTCATGTAAGGCCCCGTTAGTCTGCGACAAATTAAAAGGTCCATTTTATTTACTATGCGTCTCCCAAGCCTTGGAGACATTTGTTTGCTGTCGGCTCCAGAAGTAACAGGCGCCACCTAGCGGTTAGCACAAGACCTACAGACTGTAACTACGGCCTAACGGCCTGTTTTAAGGGACTTTATGTAACATTTTGCACCCAAATGTGATTATATTTTGCTTCCAGTTTTCAACAGATATTTGTGCAATTACCTCACGTTTCTGACTTTTACGGTTGGCGCTAAAACAGCCCACCCCAGGTGCATTCAGTTTGTGGCGCCACCACAAACTACTATAATGTAAACAAACATGGCTGACGGCTGTGTTTTGTGACGCGCCGGATTGAGTACTTAGAATGCTCCATACAAAAAGTCGTAGTACGGTCACGATACGTCAAATGAGGCTGGTTTATGTGTCCCCGTGATGTCAACGAGTCAGACCACCGTGTGTGGGTCAGTTGGAAATTCAAAAATCACTGGAAGACGAGATATGTCCCGTCAAAGTTGACCTTCTAAGTACTCATTTTGGCGTGGTTTTTCTGTGTTTTGCGGTCTGCATGGGGGTTTTCAGACGACCGCTGTCCAGTCTACTTCCGGGTCAAACCACATGTGTGCTTACGTGGACGGCGATTGCGTTCGATACGGATGTTCTGGCCAGTGTTATAACTAACGGTACGGCCCAGAGTCTCTT